CGAAAACCAACTTGTGGGTGAGACTGCACCGATACTCTTGCGCTACTCCCATCACTCAGCCCCTTTCGAACGTTAGGTTTAGTTACTGACCTTGAACGTTTTTGTTGGGTGTTTACAGATGTGTTTCGTCATGTCCAGTCAACTGTTTATTAAGTGTTTTGTTTTGTGAGGAATCTTTGCCTTTTTTCTTTTCAATTAAACTTTTTGTGTGTTTCTTGGAAACCGAACGGCTTTGTCCTTATTAACAAAACTCTCTGAGGCTCAACCAGGAGAGACAGATCGGCAACAAGAACCCGCATCACAAATTGGCGTCCGCGACAGGACAAAGTCGTTTGTTTTTCCAGTAGATTTTTTGACGCGGTTAACACGATGACGAACACGTGGGAGTTAATTGAGTTGGCGGATAAAATGGGACTGACGGGAGCGGAGTTTAGAGTATGGTACGAGGAGCGGATGGAGAGGGAGCGTGAGCAACGGGCTGCAGAACGAAAGGCGGCGAAGGAAAAGCTTGAATTGGTGCTTAGAGCTAAGAAGGAGGAGCTAGAGCGCGTAACGCGTGAAAATAAAGTGTTGCTAGAGCGTCAGACACGCATACTGAAGCAGCAGCTCCAATTAGAGAGGGTGGACTTCGAGCGGCGACTCGAGCTTGCGATGGCGAAAAGGGGGCAGCTGGCGATGCAGAAGGTCGAGCAAGCGGTGAATGTTTGCTCCGATAGCAGCGTTTGCTGGAGGGAAGTCGATTCCTGCAAGGTTGGCCTCGAGCCTCGCGACAGCCTTACTTCGGAGCGAGAAGCTCAGATAGAGGAAGGCAGAGAGGTGGACAGCCAAGAAGGCAGGAGTCATGAGGAGTTTGTTGAAGCGACGGAAAGCTTCTCTGGCTGGGAACATATTACTTCCGTTAGCTGCTTGGGGACCTCTGAGAGGCCAAGCACCTATGAAGAAGAGCGCCTGGATATGGGCGACCTAGAAGCTGTGGAAAATGTTGTGGAGCAAAGCTTCGACAGCAGGGAACGAAGAAGCTCCATTCAGAATGAGGTGTGTATCAGAACGTCTCAGAGGCCGAGCACATTTCGGGAAGGGGTAGGGCTACCTCTCAATAGCTCCATGGAAGGAGCGCTAGAACGTCATTGGGAAGATGGCAGCGAATGCCTTGAAGGCTCTGATATAGTGGCCACTGATTGTTTTGTACCGACAGAGGTAGCAGCAGGCACCACGTCAATGGTCCTAGACCATACGTATATCTCACTCAGAGAGAGAGGGGATTCTAGTTCACAGGATAGCGTAACTGCTATTTGTCCGAGAAAACACGATGGGAGTGCTGAAGCACTCTTCAAAATAAACAGTATCGAATCGGAGGTGGGCTCGATAGTAGGTATGGAGAATGCCAGACAGGGTCTTGAACCTGAGAACGTGATTGGTTTTGAACCTATAATTAAGTCCACTCAAGATGAGCTGTATAATGACCGAGCACAACGGCATCCCTTCTCAAGAATCCAGGAACCTCACACGCTTGTCGGAGCGTTTGGGCTTGCTGAGGGCACCCCGAGCTTGTGTTCATTAGATGGTGAACTAAAAGAAAGCATTTGTGTGAGAGATTGTGGCATTTGGACATTCGTGTCTCAGTGCGTTTCGTGTCGACGCCGACGGCTCGAGACCGCGCCCTGTTCCTCTGTGACCGGTAAGCGTTCATGTGGCCGGCGGGGGCGCAGACACGCGTTTCAGCGAAAGTGCATAAAAGCATGTTTGCCACAGTTACTTTCGAAACGTGCGAGAAGGGCAGTGCGTCTGGTTTGGGACGCGATAACCTGAGTGTAGGGTTAGAAAACCGGTAGCTCTTTCTGGACTTCGACTTTTAGATGCGGACACAAGTAGCTTTGTCCATAGTCGATTTTGTAGTAAAAAGGTTTATTCCGGGTTTCAGAACTTTTAAATGCAATTGGGTGAATCTAAAGTTTAAGTGTGGACATTTGGACGATGTAGCGAACTGTAGCCCGGTGATGTGTTGAACTGCGTGGTGCAAATATGTGGTTTAATTGTGACGTAGTGCAGAACGCGCACTCATCGGCAGTTTTTTTTTTTTTCTAAAAAAAAAACTTGAATAAAAGGGGGGCGTATGTGATGTGTGGTGCGCGTTCAAAGTGCGCGCCTTCGAAAAGTGCGCGTCACGGAAAAAAAAAAACAAAAGGAGAAATACCAGAGTGCACGTGCGGTGATGCTTAAACAAGAATGACGACGTTAAAGAGCGTCAAGCACGAGGATGCGTGGCAGGACGTGAAGTAAACAAAAGGTAAAACATCCAATGGGCAGCGAACACGGAGATTTCAAGGCCCAATGGCTTGACACCACGAAACAGTAGTATCTCCAATGAGAACGAGACAAGTGGGCCAGAGCTGAAGCAGGAGCCTGAGCAGACCAGAGCAAGGGGAATTCGAGGCAGGCAGTGCAAGCGGAAGGTCGTCACCGGACCGGGCGCTGAAGATGGGCCGTTGGGTTCCGGACCCGAGCCTACAGGACTTCCACCGGCCGGGGCCTCCTGCTGTCGGGTTCCCGCTCCAAAGGACCGTGGCCATCCGGTCCTGAACTCCTTTCCAGAGCCTGCGGACTTCGGTTCCGGCAGGCGAGCTACAGCCGTCGGGCTCCGGGCCCGAGCTGTGCGCCCAGCTGCTTGACTAGGTCGACCCTAGTTCCCGGACGCGTCGCCACCAGCCTGCGTTCTCCCGTCTCCGACGTGTCCACGCTCCTCAAGCCGAAACCATCACGATTTGGTAGGGCTTTTCGACGTGTCGCCAGCAGCCAGCGTTCCCTCGTCCTCGTCCAGCCCACGCAGTGACGCAGGAGTCACGGCGTTCCGGTTTCTCATCACCGCCGAAAACCAACTTGTGGGTGAGACTGCACCGATACTCTTGCGCTACTCCCATCACTCAGCCCCTTTCGAACGTTAGGTTTAGTTACTGACCTTGAACGTTTTTGTTGGGTGTTTACAGATGTGTTTCGTCATGTCCAGTCAACTGTTTATTAAGTGTTTTGTTTTGTGAGGAATCTTTGCCTTTTTTCTTTTCAATTAAACTTTTTGTGTGTTTCTTGGAAACCGAACGGCTTTGTCCTTATTAACAAAACTCTCTGAGGCTCAACCAGGAGAGACAGATCGGCAACAAGAACCCGCATCACACCCCCGTACAATTCGAGATAGGAACCGTTTGCCCAGAGAAATAATCGAGTGCCCTTCTGTTTCCGCATTCACTGCCGCAATTCAAGGGACAGAATGATAGCACTTTAATTGCTAGTACTGTAGCAATGGGTCATAAGAGCTTCCCTCATGAGTCGGCTATCATTGCTCGATGTATTCTTTTTTTTTTCAGTTATACCTCTGATAATACGGAATGTGTTAAAATCTAAAATTTACTCAACAGAAACTTGTTTTCTTTTCCCATGATTTCAAGCATTAGACAACGCATTGTATCAAGTATCACTACTTACGTTGGCCTACCCATTGTTCGTCATTACATATTGTATTACTGTATTGTAGTGCCACATCTCACACACCATTTGATTCTTTTTTGCTGTTTTGTTTGTAAGGTCTTTTTTTTATTGTTCAAGTGCATTTCCATTGAAAATCCTCCACTTCTGCTTAAGGCCTGGAAATTCAGGCTAGCAGTATTGAATAAATAAATAAATAAAATTTTACTATATGAAAATTCAAACTTCCCAAAGAAAAATACAATCAGCGCTGATTGAAAGTGACCCCTTAGGATTTTTAATATGCTTCACCTTATCACATTGTATTGCGGCAAAGCTCTCTTTCAAGCTTCACTTCGGTCGCAAATGTATTGACTTGAAAAAACTATATTTCCAACATGGCGATTATAGATGTGGCAGAGGTGGGAACTCAATTAGTGCTGTTTTGAACCTGGAATATGGGCAGAAAGTTTGAAAAATCAGACGCCAAAGATCTTTAGCAACCAAAATCTCAGATGTTTATGTATGTTGACATCTACGAGGCAGACTTGAAACTCCTAACTCCAAGAGGAGCACAGCCTTGTCTGCCACATTATTTGGGCTTCCACAGAAGTTGAAGGAGGAGAAGTAGCTGAGGAAATAGCATCTGTGCCTTTCACATGTTAAGTGTTGGCGGCAACACTTTGAATGCCCCAAGTCATCTGCATAAATACAATTCGGCCTCTGCATTGCCTTATTCTTGATAAGACAACTAAGAAGTACCACCTTGCAAGCACTTCATCAACCTAGCCAAAAAGAAAAAAAAAACACTTTCATGTTTTCATTTCATTAAGAACATGCTGAGTAATCCTCTCCAACTTATTATCTGCAATTTCACTTCAAGGTATCGAAAAATAATCTACAAATGTTCGATTTGATTCACACTGATACTTCAATATTCGAATTCGCTTCGGACTAGAAACTTTGCTCAGTGCATTGCTCCAGTAGTTACAAGTGGAATGCACTGTACTACTACTACTACTACTACTACTACTACTACTACTACTACTACTACTACTACTACTACTACTACTACTACTACTACTACTACTATGCCTTGCTTAGCAAACATCACCTGGACAAATGCCTTGTTTGAACACACAGTGCTCTTATCATCGCTGACCACAGTATGTGACTATCTAATGCAAAACATTGATGCAGACACTGGGAAGCCTCTTACCGTTGCTGTGCTGACATCAAACTTGTAGGGTTTTTTGTTGCATATTCCAGAGGAAACTTCATGGCATTTGGTTTTGTACTGCTTGCTTTATCTGTTTTTTTTTTTATATCAAGCTTGAACATTTCAGCATGTCTTCCAAATATGTCAAATTTTAACCGTTGTTGAAAGTCGAAGAAAGTGTCCGTACGGCAGGTCTTTCAGCTTAGGCATTGGAGGTTGTGTTATTAAGTAGAAGCTGCATTTGAGGCCAAGCAGCCTCTTTGTAGACTTTATGCGAGTGTCAGTTGCATTTCACCGTCTCGTTTGCTGGCTTGGGTGTGTGCAGGTTGGTGGGGTGCAGTCACAGACACTGACTGTGTGTCGTCAGATGCGCCGCTACTCGGTGCCGTGTGTGGCTTTCATCAACAAGCTGGACCGCATGGGTGCTAATCCACTCAAAGTTCTGGGACAACTCAGGTACACTGACCCGTGTCTTTATGGTGTCATATTTACTACATCTTTGTGGGCTGATCAATACCATTTCTAATAAAATAAAAAAATAGAGGTACTACCAATAAAATACATAGAAGGGTGTTCAAGCTATTGGGCTAAAGTTGTCTTATGTTTGGTGGTGCAGTTTGGCATCATCCACCCTGCACTTAGTATCGCTTTTCTGTCACATGCAGTGTAGTGCACATATCACAACACCAAATATAATGATATGCCCCTTCTAATAACAAAATCTTATATAATGCTCTATTTTTTCATGGCCTTTATGTGAAAAAGTAAGCCTATATAGTGATATAATCATTGGCAACATATTGACTCAAGTTAATGTAGCGTCCTTAATTATAGCCCCAAATGATGTCTTTAGCCATTTTTAGATGCCTGTGGCTATAAAAGAAGTAATTTTAAAAGCATGGAACAAATATCACATTTCTCTGATTTTTGAAGGTTTTAAACACATTTATTGAAACTCGAAGTATATGCACTGACAGGAGGGTAATAATTCTGATCAACAGTAGGGCGCCTACCGTCTATTTAAAGCAAACGTTTAGTTTGAAAGTTTAATAAAAAATGAGATACTTTAAAGTAGAAGTATTGAAAACTCGTTACAAGTACCATAAACTAATTGCAGTGGAGAAATTCACAAGGTGGGGGCCTAGAGAGATCCAGTGTTGCGGTTGAATGAAAGAAGAAATGAGCTTGAGTAGTTGCAATCACGTGGCACATGGAACCACTTCCTCACATTTTGAGACGCAGCAGAGAGCTGAGCGCACGGTGTTCCAGAGTGCTCATGTTTTTTTTTTTTTTGGTACGAGCAAGAATCATCGTTTGAATCTTCTGGAGATTTATTTGACTTTCATTACAGCAAAATAATTACAAGAGGCTGCTTTTTCCATGTCCCAAAGCCACAACGGGTTCTTTGCATGAAGATCTTCAATTCTCACATTCGGCGTAACTGCCCAACTCCACTAGTAAATATTTACCACCTAACTCTGCTTATTAGAAAGCTTATTATTGTAAGTTTCTTACTGTCCCAAATAATTACAAAAGGGTAATACATTAATGTAAATAAATCAAAAACTAAATGTGTATTGTTCCATGCATTCAGCATTTTAGGTAAAATCGATGACTATGTAACTCTTGGGCCATTTCAAATCAAGATAGAAAAACAGATTAAGCTAATGAGTGTAATTTTTCTAGGATATATGTGCTGAAATGATCATGTGAAAATTATTTGCCAAAATTAAGTGGAGCAGCTAGTGTAAATAAATCGGAACCGTCATGCTTTTCCTGTTATATTTTGTTACAATTTGCAATCTTTAACTGCTCACCTATATTACAGCACACTAGATGGGGAACGCAACATTATCTGACCTGCAGCAAATATTCATAGTGCAGAAAAATGTGCTTTGTTCTATAGAAAACACCTCATTTCTGGAACACACCGAACCTTTATTCCACAAACATAACATTAGGAATATTCAGAACATAAATATACTGAGAATATACAAAAACCTTATATGAGGAAAAAGAGAACTTACTCGAAGGAAAAGCAAATCTTCGAGCTAATAAAACTATCTATCCTTTCAGGTATTGCCTTGAATATCACATTCTTTTCTCACGTACACCCATTATGAGAAAGAAAAACTTCATTATGTACTCACAACCACACTCAATGAATTAGACCAAAAAATGGCGACATTTCTAACATTATTAACAAAACCTTACCAGATCCCTTTGTGTATAAATTTTGATACCTGTACTTATGTTTCTTTATGTGCAGTATTCTTTCTTTCTTTATGTGCTGTTTTTTTTTTTACTAAGCTGTTTTGGTGCTTGTTGTTTTTTTTTAATGACGATAGTCTTTCTTACGATTCTCGCAAACATTTTGGCCTGTCTGTCTGTACACCTGTTGGTCCTCCTGACCAGATATTCAGCCTACCAATGAAAGGTTAATCCCTTGCTCAACGCCCACTCATATTAATCTGGTGGCAGCATTGATACTTGCGAACACTGTCAATCAGAAAGCAAATGTTACGCATACTTGATGCGTAACATCAATACATAAGTGTTAAGCAGTGTGTCTTTTCATTTCGAAAATGCATAGATACGTATTTTTAAGACTTAAGTGTTTATTACGCTGCGCAGACAATGCGATGTTATGAACAAAAAAGCGGGCATTCTCTACACTTTGCTTAAATGTTCAAGGGCTTCAACAAAAAATTTTCGGTGCTGCTATTCTACCAGTTGCTCTGCGTTCTAAAAAACTTTTGTTTACTCGCATTACTGCCAGATAGTGCTATACCTTGAACAGCCCATGCAGACAGATAATCATTTTGTGACATCCTTTGCGGCAGAGCACGAAGATACACGGCTTAGAGTTTCATACAATAATACCTATAGGGGAATCTGGCGCTAGTGTCTACGCGGGCTCCCCCAGCGGCGCTTGTACCCCCATGGGAATTACGGGAAGTACAGGCTTTGGATGCGCTTCGGATGGGTCACGTTCTTGGGATTCGCGACGCTTGTTTGCTGAGTGTAAAACAAAGTGATATGAAGTTATGTCTAATTGAAACTTGCTTCATTTCCTTGTGCGCATACTTTATTGCAAAAGGTTTTTGTGACTAGGTAGGAGAAGTGAAACCTCGACAAATTTATAAACCATGGTATGCAGTGCTTTGCCATTGAGTTCTAGATTTGGCATCAAGATTTAAGGAATTATTTTTTACAATATTTCAAAACAAACATTCTTGTTTTGCCCGCGAAAGTATGCAATATCTATTTATGAAAATAACAGCTCAGTATTAAGTGAGAAACACTTGACATTTCATCTGCTGCGATGCCAGGTGCGTCTGTTCAAGTGGTCTGCCCCCAACGCGCCTCTCATTTTATTGTGAAGTCGAGTCGGAAGAGCATAGTGGTGCGTCTACTTCACTTTGCCGTCGTTTTGTAGTTAATTTCAGTGATTTTTGGCAGGACGCACTAACAACAAACGTGAACTCGATGTAATATCCTGCACTGGCATGGGACGCTACATTTATGCGCCGTAGTGAGTGGACGACGCTTCACTTAAACTGTCAAACACGACTTGTACAGCTCCAGCATTGCAGTAAATTGAGAGGCCTAGCAGTTTTCAGCTTCTTTGAACAACAAAGGCGCAGCTTCGGTCCTTTGCACCCACCCCACTACCCACTCTATGCGAAGAACGAAACTGAAACTGTAGAAAAAGACCCATAGACAGTTCGCTGGCTAACGCGATCCAATCCAAAGCTTGTACTTCCCTTAAACCTCATGAGGGTACACAATCACAGTGCCAGATTCCTCTCTAGGTATTATTGTATGAAACTCTATGATACACGGCCAACGTTTTTTTTTTTTCATTACATCATTGATAATATAGTTTTGATGATAGCATTGTATATATTACGGATAGTTTTGCTGATATGTTTCCGCCTATCACTGCTGCTGTATGGATCACCTGTCAAGCTGTGCAAAAGCAGCTTTTTTCTCTGGTCCCCAATTTTCGCATTTACAATGTACTGCAGAGTGTACTGAAAAAATAAAGTTTAAATTGATTGATTGACTCATAATGTCTTTAGCAATCTTGAGGTGCCTGCTGCTACAAAAAGCCCAGTTGTGAAAGCAGCAAGCAAATATCATATTTTTCTGAATACTGAGAACTTTGGACACAACTCTTAAAACACCCTGTATAGGTGCCTGCTGCTACAAAAAGCCCAGTTGTGAAAGCAGCGAGCAAATATCATATTTTTCTGAATACTGAGAACTTTGGACACAAATTTTGAAACACCCTGTATAGGTCAATGTGAATGCTGTCGTGAAAAAGTGTTGGTGTTCATATTTCTCCATGTGAGGAGGAGGTGATGATGTCTAGAGATAAATACAGCTTTATCAAATGCCAGTAAGGTTTATTTGTGCTTGGCACAAGTAATGGCGTTCCTGTGCTTGCAGGTCTAAGCTTCAGTACAATGCGGCCCTGCTTCAACTGCCCATAGGCCTTGAGGGAAAGCATACTGGGGTGGTTGACGTGATCCATCGCCGAGCTATCTATTGTCGGGGGGAGCACGGGTGAGTGTTTCACTCGTTCCTTACCTGACCAACAAGTGGCATCAAAATTCAATCATTTGCTGCAGCAAGCCATTGCCTGGGATCCTTTGCTCACTACACAGTTTTGCGTCACCACATTTCACTGGAGGTAGAAAAGGGAAATAGCAAGCTAGCTTGGAAAAATTCTTTAAAAAGTGTATCTATTGTTGATACCAGGTGTTCAACAGCTATGCCAAGTGTACCAATTTGATACAATTCCTCATGTGCGCCGCGCTGCATCAAAACCTTGAAATTTGCCGAAATTGCGCCACGCTGCGTTGAAATGCCTGACCAGCCTCAAAATTTTCTCAGTTCCCCTGATTTGAGTGAGAAATGGAGGCCACTTTAACCACCTGTAGTTTGCGCCATCAATCAATCCAAGCGGGCAAACGCAAACCCTAAACTGTGGTGTAAGACAGTTGCTCATTAGTCCAAGAAACTCACGAAACGCGTTCGACCATATGCAGTAAAAACGCCGCGCGCCCCTCGGTCCACTGACTGCAGCGGATATCTAGTGGCAGGGCGACGCAACTTCTAAACAGAAATGTGTCGCCATAGCCAGCAACACTTCACGGGAAATATGAATTTCCTAGTCAGCAAACGCGGCCATGGCATGTTAGGAATCATCAAGAACTAAAGTTCGAAGCGTACAAACTCGCAGTACGTTGAGTTTCTATGCTTCCAGCTTTAGTTCATGCCATGATCACGTTAGTTGCCGTAGCAACGCCACATGCAATAGGTACCTGGTGCCGTCGCCAGGCCAATGGGCACATGCCGTTGTGACTTTATCTGGTCAAATGTGCCTTGCAAGCGAGCCAAGAAGCTTTGTCCTAAACCCAACCGCTTCATGAAAAAAAAAAAGTGGGGTGGGGTGTAGTGGTTCGAAAATTTCTTGGTCTTGTTCTAACCCATGTAGAAACACTGCTTAAGCCGTCTTCGCCGCAGTACACAGGTTGCCTGCGGAAACGCATTTTAAGATTTGGAAAGGGGCTTATAGCAGTAGTGTCTAGATACAGCATGGTTTGTTCAATTACTAATGCCTACATACGCCACATAATTTCGAGTACTGATATGATCGCTGACGTCTGAAAAAGTTACTGGCAAAATGATTTGGAGTATTAGATAACATTTATCCAGCCATCAAAAAATGAAACATAACTGTGCGCCTTTTTTTTTTTTTTTTTTTTTTTTTTTTTTTTTTTTTTTACAGTTCTACAAATCTCATGGTCACCATTATGGAGGATCCACATTTGAGTCCTCAGGCTCTGTTAAACAATTCGACAGGTGTGGCAAATTCTGATATTGACCTCATCATTGTTCGCTGAGTGGGGTGATTAAAGAAAACACTACTGTTACGGGGGTGAGAGAATGAATGAAATAAATATATTTACAAAATATGCAGGGAGAGTCAGAGGCAGCTGCAGCCAAAATGGAAGAACAGCAGCAACAACAACACGAGCACGGTCGCTTTCATCATCTTCGTCATCTATGATGCTCTTTCGTTGCCCATGTCGTGTAACATATAACCCCCCACTGCTGGCAGCGCCGTCTCGGTGCCTAAAGGAGAGTAGGGTCATATGCGGATATGTACAGTTTGAGGCGGGTCACGTGGACGACGTCAGTAGCGGGTGCGGACGACGATGACTGACTGGCCAACAGAGCAATCTCGTATGTGACATCGGTAAGCCGGCGTAAAACCTTGTAAGGCCCCGAGTAGCGAGACAAGAGCTTCGAAGAGAGGCCAACGTGGCGGCATGGTGTCCAGAGGAGGACCAATGAACCTGGAGAGTAGGAAACTACACTGTGATGGCTATCGTAGCAGGCCTTCTGAGAGAGCTGCGAGCCAAGAAGACGTTCCCGTGCGATTTGGCGGGCCACTTGAGCCCGAGCAGTGGCATCCCGGGCGTACTCTGTAACAGTTTGCGTCGTTGATGGGAGAAGAGTTTCGAAGGGTAGCGCTGGATGGCGGCCGAACAATAAATAGAAGGGGGAGATGCCAGCGGTGTCGTGGCGTGACGAGTTGTACGCGAATGTCACATAAGGCAAAGTACTATCCCAATCAAGGTGATCTTTGGAAACTGTACATGGAGAGCATCATTGTCAATGTTCGATTTAGGCGCTCGGTAAGACCATTTGTTTGTGGGTGATAGGCCGTAGTGAGCTTGTGACGCGTCAAACATGAGCGAAGGATGTCACTTACTACTTTTGAAAGAAATGAGCGACCACGATCAGTCAGCAGCTGTCGAGGAGCGCCATGGTGAAGAATTACGTCATAAAGCAAGAAGTCCGCGACGTCAGTGGCACAGCTTGTCGGTAGCGCTCGTGTGATAGCGTATCTTGTGGCGTAGTCAGGGGCTACGGCTATCCACTTGTTTCCAGTGAGAGAAGTTGGAAATGGTCCAACGAGATCAAGACCGACTCGGTAGAAGGGAACGGTGGGTATGTCTATTGGTTGGAGCGGACCAGCTGGTGGCAAGGTGGAATGTTTGGAGCGCTGGCAGGACTCACATGCAGCAACGTATCGGCGCACAGAATGGTAAAGGCCTGGCCAGAAGAATCTACGCCGCACGCGATCGTACGTGCGCGTGACCCCAAGATGTGCCGCGGTTGGGGCGTCGTGAAGCTGTTCAAGTACAGCGGAACGGAGTGTCGCAGGAACTACGAGTAGTAGCTCTGGTCCTTCGGCGCTCGTGTTGCGTCGGTAAAGAATGCCATCGCATAGAACGAACAAGTGTAGTGACGGGTCTACGTGGGGCAAACGTAGACTCTGCATGATAGACCGCAAGTGGACATCGCTGAGCTGTTCCTTGCGTATGTCGGTGAAAGCCGACATGGCGAAGACACAACGGTCAGAATCATGTGCTGAAAGGTCAGGTGGGTCCACGGGGTTACGGGATAGACAGTCGGCATCCTGGTGCATTAGGCTAGATTTGTATGCCACGTCGAAGCTGTATTCTTGTAGTTTCAAGGCCCAACGGCCAAGTCGTTCTGTTGGATCTTTAAGGGACGACAGCCAGCACAAGGCATGATGATCTGTAATTACCGAAAAGGTGCGGCCAAACAAGTATGGTCGAAATTTTCCGACTGCCCAGACTAGTGCGAGGCACTCACGCTCTGTAATGGAAAACTTGCTCTCCGAAGGAGAAAGGAGGCGACTGGCATAAGCAATGACGCAATCTTGTCCTCGTTGCCGCTGGGCGAGAACAGCACCAATTCCATGTCCTGTACGAACTTCAGTATGGGCTGACGGGTCGAAATGGGCCAAGATGGGTGGGGAAGTAAGTAATGTTGTAAGGGTGCTGAAGGCAGTTGCTTGGTCAGTACCCCAATAAAAAGGCATGTCCTTCTTCAGTAGCTCCGTAAGTGGTCAGGCAATGTCGGCAAAATTCTTCACGAAACGTCGAAAGTAAGAACAAAGGCCGATGAAACTCCGTACATCTTTTGCGGAACGTGGCATGGGAAAATCTTTGACAACTCGAATTTTGTCAGGATCAGGTTGCACGCCTCGAGCACTGACAAGGTGGCCGAGCACAGTGATTTCCCGACGGCCAAAGCGACATTTGGAAGAGTTGAGCTGAAGTCCTGCTTTCCTGGAAAACCTCAAGAACAGCCGTTGGGCGGCTAAGGTGGCTTTCGAATGGAGGTGAAAATACAATGACTGTCATCGAGATAGCACAGGCACGTGGTCCATTTGTATCCACGCAGGAGAGAGTCCATCATTCTTTCAAATGTAGCTGGCACACTACACAATCCGAATGGCATAACCTTGAACTGGAAAAGTCCATCCGGTGTGATGAATGCGGTTTTCTCACGGTCTCGATGATCGACAGAAATATGCCAGTAACCTGATCGCAAGTCGATAGATGAAAAGTAGGCAGACCCATGTAGGCAGTCGAGTGCATTGTCAATCCGCGGCAGTGGATACACGTCCTTACGTGTTACGTTGTTTAAGTGACGGTAGTCTACGCAGAAGCGCAGCTGCCATTCTTCTTCTTGACTAGCACGACCGGCGATGCCCATGGACTGCAGGAAGGTTCGATGAAGTCTTTTGTGAGCATTTTTTCAACTTCGTGCTGGATAACTTGTCGCTCAGCATTAGACACGCGATAAGGACGTCGTCGGATGGGGCTGGCGTCTCCAGTGTTAATCCTATGAGTTACAGAGGATGTCTGACCCAAAGGGCGGTCATCAAAATCAAAGATGTCGCGGTAGGATTTCAGCAAGTGCCGGATGTCAGCTGTCTGTGCTGGAAGAAGGTCCGGAGCGATCATCTTGTCGATGGTGGCATCCGCTGCGCTCTTCGAGGATGGAAAAGGAGCAGAGGACGAAGAAGATTCGGCAACGAACGCTGAAATGGCAGCATCTATAGAAAAAAGTTTTGCCAAAGTCATACCATCTGGGATAACTTGAGCGTACCAGCTGAAGTTTAGGATCGGAAGAGATGCTGTATTTCCCGTGACTGTCAAAAGTGTGTGAGGCACAGCAACATTTTTGGCCAGCAGAACATCAGCAATAGGTGTCAACATGTAGTCACCATCAGGAACAGGAGGGACAGATCTCAGGTTCACGTAAGTAACGGCTTGAGGTGCTAGGCGAACATGATCTGCAGAACACAGACGGGGTTGAGCTGGTGTTAGGTCGTCATGGTAACACGGTAAATCAAGTTGAAGCATGCCAGTTCCACAATCAATAAGGGCAGAGTGGCGGATAAAAAGTCCATGCCGAGGATAAGTTCATGGGAAGATTTCTCGAGCACAGCAAATAGCACTGTCGGGGAGCGATCAGCCACACTTATGCGCGCGGAGCACATTCCAAGCACAGGAAAACGTGCCACCGTCGGCGACTTGGATTAGTGGCACTGTGGGTGGCGTTAAAGCTTTCCTAAGGCGGCAACGAGGTTCTGAATTCATCACTGATATGTGAGCCCCAGTGTCCACCAGTGCAACAACGGTGTGTCATCTACTTCAACGTCAATAAGGTTG